TTCTGTCTCTGTCATCTTTGCAAAGCATCTGGCTCTGGCCTTTGCTTGGTGTCTCAGAGCTCTTTGATGAAAACAGGAGTTTAGGAAGGTCATTGCAACAACCTGCATGGATGTAATGCTTAAGGACCGGTAAGTCGAGAAAAGCCAAGTCCCAGCAGCAACGCTGAGTTGGTCAGGTCTTCTCCAAGTGCTGTTTTCTGTCCCTTTTTTGAGCATAGCCAAATATATTACTTATTAAATGAGGACCTCCAGACAGGCTGAACACCTGCCCTGTTAACGTTGCTCTTCGAGGCTTAAAGAAACCCTCTCAACCTAAAAATCTAGTTATTTCAAGTCCTGTTAGCTCAAAAGCCACCTGAACACATTCCTGTGTAACCTGCTCTAGGTGGCCCTTTCATGGCAGGGGGGTTGGACAAGATGATCTCCAGAGGCCCCTTCCAACCCTAATGATTCTGTGACTTAAGCAGCCTTGCTGAAGAAATGAGGCCACGCAGGTGCACAAAGCTGAGGATGGATGGATGGTTTTGGTTGCTGAGTGTAGGGGAGAGGCTAACACACTCTCCCTATGGAGCAGAAGGATGGCCTGTGTTGGGGAGCATTGAGATCATTGGGATGCAGTGCTTTGCCCACCTCCTGTCAGCCTTCAGACAAGTCACTTCCCTGCATTTTGGTGCTCAGACCGGAGAGGACTCCCACCATGTTCTCCTGACCTCCTCTTTGCATCTGGATACACATTTTGACCGTTAGTGGTTGTAGGCAAGACTTTGTGCAGCAAGAATTCACTATGCCAGACTGGGGTAGAAGGAGCAAGTATCAGTAACACAGAGGGCAATAGGCTTGTGCCAGTGCTGCTGGTAGCTGGCATTTCTTCACAAGTGCTGCTGATGTGATGGGAGCAGGAACTTAAATGCTTCATCCTTGCAAACTTGGTGCTTTGTAATCCAGGCAGACATTCATGCTGCACCTGCTGCCTGCATCATCCTTGCATGGGCATGGATTGTGAAATCAAGGGAACAAAAAAGACTTGCTCTTTCTAAGATGAATTGCCACATCAATGAGCTTCCCACGCCCTTACCAACAAGAAGTAGCTGCCACGGATTAAGTTTGCAACAGTTTCTCCTGGGGGCTGCGAGATCTGGGCTCTCATAATTATCATTCTTCTAGAAAATTGCTTGTGCATCTGTCGCAACACTTTCTGTGTACAGACACCATGAGGATAAAACAGGCAACGGTGCCTGTCAGCAGGTGCCTCTTCTCCTGCTGTCCAGCTCTGCCTGCCGGTCTGAAACCTCTGATTTGAACCTGCCTGTTCTTGCCCAGTCAGAGTTGTCCAGCGCAGGTCAAGGCTGCTGTGCACAGTGGATCCTCACAGCGTGTTGCTGTGCCATGAGGATGGTGATAAGCTGACAAAGGGGCCAAGCCTGATCCACTGCCACTGACTTTGCCCTCTTTGCAGAGCTGGCAAGCAGAGCATGGACCAGAGCTGATACAAGTGGTGAGGAAAACACAGAGAGAATGGGACATCCCTTAAGCTACTGTGCTCTGGTCCATAGAAAACTTTCCTAAGGACAAAGAGTGCTTTGGGGTGGCTGTCTCATGACACAGAAGATAAGCATCTGCAGTAACTTGTCTTCTATTCTCACGAGTGAGAATACCCTAGTGGAATCTCCCCAGAAAACTCCTCAGATCATCTTAAATCAGATGCTTGCCAGCCAGTCATACCTGGGGCACTTCCAGGCTGGGAAAGAGGTTTCTCTTCATAGGAGGGAAGTTGTGGCATCCTGGCTGAGCAAAGATGGAAAATGGGAGTTAGGAATACCACCTCTGCTTGAAAATTAGTGTAAAGAAATAAAGGAGACTAGTCATTTAGTATAACTTGCTTATCATTAGTAGCTAGATGTACTGAAGCCTCAGGCTGCAAATTGTGAACTTTCACATAGGTACACTGAGGTTTTTACCTACTGAAATAGAGGGACCTTACCACTATATTCCAGTATTTAAAGGGTAGCTACAAAGAAGATGGAGACTCCCTTGTCTCAAGGTGTCACATGGAAAAGATGAGGGATAATGGGTACGTGTTACTCCCAGTGAGATTCCAGTTGTACACAAGAGGAAAATTTTTCATGATGAGAACAATCAGCCATTGGAATAATCTGTCCAAGGAAGTGGTGGATTCCCCAACACTGGAAATTGTAGGACTCATCTGGACAGGGTCATCTTGTCTAAACTGTGCTTTTGCCAAGAATCGTTGGAGCAGATGTTCCTTGAGGTCCCTTCCAACCTGGTATTCTATGATTCTGTGATTCTGTGATTAAGGAGGCCCCAGAGCCAGTTCATTCCAGAAGATAAGGAAGCAAGGAAGGCCACTACCCCTGTCAGCAGAAGCTACAGCCTTATAGATAAGAAGTGGTCCACTCAGAGACTTTGAGACACCCAATGGAGAACAAGAAGACTCCAGACCCTAATGTTATTGTTGGAGTGAACAGTTGCATGAGGCACAGGAAATTTAGATTGTAAAGGGACTTCTTGGTTTGGGGTCCCTCTCTGGAGGCACCCAGCTCAAAATATTTCTAGCACTGTACTACTCAAATAAATTGCATTCTTGGATTTAAAGCCTGGGACTCTGCTCTAGGATACCTAAGGTGGAGAAGCATTGTTAAGAATTATGGAGAGGGAGATGCCCCTCTGATCTTCTGACTCTGAGCTGTGTCTTTGCGATGTGCCAGCATAAAAAGGTATGAAAGAACAAATGCAAAAAGGAATTATTCTGCTTCTTTCCCTCACAGATGAGAGCTCTCCCAGGTCAGCAGCAAGCCCAAAGATAAGAGCAGAGGGAAAGATGTATAGCAGAATATGAGCAGAGTGAACAGAGGTGTCTCTGGGAAGAGGCCGTTAGAGAAGTTCATTCATTTCAAAAGAGTAAGCAGAGAATTGCTATACAGCTAACTTCAGAGGTTGACCTGACTCAGGGAATCAGCGTTTTACTGGTTTTGAGCCCTAAACCAAAACTGAACACCAGACTATGCCATGTTTGAGGCTGGTTTTAATCTTCCAAAGAGAAGATACACTTTCTGTGTAATGCTGTGGAAATTGGGGCACCTGCTCTGTAATTCCAATATATGGAGGTCAGTACTTCAAGTGGCAGTATTGGTGCTGGTCACAGCCTTACATCAGGATGTCACTTCAGGAGTCTGTCAGCTCCCTCTCAGGTCAGAGTATTCCAATGGTCCTGGACAGACCTGTCAGCCCAGCCTGTTGTGAAGGTGTGCAATGCTTCCCACTGAAACAGCCTGGCTGTAATTGTGTGCAATTTAACTGCTTTCCAAACCATTCATGCTGAAATTTTGAAGACCAGGCCTTTGCTTCAGGCAGAAGAGAGTTTTATTTAATTTTCATGGGCAATTTCTGCAAAGTATGATCTATCTCAATTTTCAAGAAGGAGGAGGACAAATCAATTTTTTTACTTCTAAGCTTAAAAAGCTCTTGTGAACTTTCAGAGAACTCGTACAGTCCCCATGTTTAGAAGCACTGGCTTGCAGTGTTTTTAGTTTAGTTTAGGTCAAACAGCAGAGGTCTGTGCTCTGGACCTCTGACATCCAACCCCACCAGTGATAGGTGGTGTATTGAGTTGGCATTAATCAAAGGTTAATTTTCCCTGCACTCGCAAAGCTGCTTCTCCACTTTCTGGGTTGCCTGTCTTGTCCTTTTCTGGTGCTTGGCTAGGTTAAGTGGTACTGGGGTCCTTCTCACCTAGCAAACCACCTCCACTCCCTGCAGGAGACTTGGGCACCTCATCTTCTTGTGCATTTCTTCTCCTTGGGGATTGGGTGGTGGTTCCAAGGGTGCCAGGCTTCTCTTGTTCATACAACTCCCAGGCTAGCAGAGTGCCCTGATGGTGTCCCAGTGCACATCATTCATATGTTCACCCCATACTTGGGGTCCCGTTTCCCATCTGCTTGGGTCCCTTGCAGGCAGCCTGCAGATAGGGTGTCCTTACTGAGGGTCTGAAGATGCCCTGCAAAGAAACATGTGTACATGGTGTACATGTGCCTTAATCTTCCCCTCTTTCTCCTTTGGCTGTGAGGGGAAGCTGTTTATTTGAGATGCAGGACTGGGGCTGCTGTAAATAGCTCTCTGCTTTGGTGAACTTGCTGTGTCAAAGAGGGACAGCTTTGTGGCAGGCGATGAAGGCTAAGCCCGTGAGCGAAGATTAGACCAGCAAGTGCGGATTATGGCATTTCTACCTGGACTCATCCTTAATTCTACCTGATCTAAAATAACATGCAGTGGCAGTAGCGGTGATGGGTAGGGAGGACTCACAGTGGGCCTGCCACGTGGACCTGGAGTTTGGCGCATGAAATCCATGCCAAAGGTTTGAGGGTGTTGGTGTAAGGGTCAGTAGGCAGAAGGATAGGTGGCGTCATGGGTAGGGCTGATGGAAAACTGTGGGAGATGGGGAGAGCAGGAGCCCAGCAGAATGGAGCTGCAGAGCAAGCAGGGTTGTGGATTGTGGGAGGGTGAATGGGGAAAAGAGCATAGTAGCTGAATAGATAAAATTAGTGAACAAATGCGTGGTAGAAACAATGAATTCCTAGAAGGGAAAGGAGTGGGTGGGAGAATTAAATGCAGACTAAGAGGATTTCCACTACGTGGAGCCCTTCATCCGTACCAAAACCATATCCCAATTTTCACTCCATGTTGCCTCCCTGTGTGTCTGTGGGAAGCCACCCTTACTGCAGACTGTGACTGCTTTACAATGCTTTAGATCAGATGAATAAAGATTCTCAATCTAAAAGTGTCCTATTTTAGGTTAATCCTCAGAAATAAAATGAGACCATCTCCCCAGTAAATTCCGCATGGCTACAGCCCAGGCAGCAGGATATGAACTCACTGGAGCCTGTGAAGGGTTTCTGTCCCCTGCAGAGCTCTGCTCCTTTGTGCTGGTCCAGAGAGATGGGGCTTGCCCTGACCTATCTCCTGCCTCTCTCCCTCCCCACCAGGTGTTCTCCATCGTGGTGTTTGGCTCCATTGTCAATGAAGGGTACGTGAACCGCGCGGACGAGACGCAAGAGCACTGCATTTTCAACCGCAATCGCAATGCCTGCAACTATGGCATTACGGTGGGTGTCCTCGCCTTCCTCAGCTGCCTTCTTTACCTGGCTCTGGATGCCTACTTCCCGCAGATCAGCAGTGTCAAGGACCGCAAGAAGGCAGTGCTCTCGGACATCGGAGTCTCGGGTGAGCTTCCTGCCCAGTTGGCCATAGTGCCTTTCTCCCCCACTGGCAAGGGAGGGGAGGGAATTTCTGCTATCCTGCAGGCCAGGTCCCTGCTAGCAGGGAGGTCTTTGAGTTCCTTCCTCTTTCAAGAGGCTTTCTTTCTGTTTTCCTCCCCTTTCTCTTCTCAGCCAATCTGGCTGATGCCTTGCTGCTGCGAGGCTTAGCTCAGGGAACCCTTTAGGATCAGCAGGTCTTGCCTCCCTGTGTGCTTGTGCCTGCTAAGGCCAAGTGTTAATGCCTCTGGAGATGGTACTTCCTTCTTTTTCAGCTCCAGGTGATTGAACCCTATATATTTTAACATAAAAAAACATTGAGAGTTTCATGCAGACTGACTAAACCAGTCCTCCTAGGTTATGTGGCATTCCCCATTTGAATAGCTGTGCAGCACCACATCCAGCCCTGAGGCTTACTAGCAGTCAGTACTTACAGTGAGATCTCTCCATCCCCAATACTGTGTTGAAGTGACAGAGCCATGGTGCGTGTGTACGTGCATGTGTAACACCAGTCAGCAGCATCATGAGGAGGTGCTTTGTTCTCGTGCTGTGATCCCAAGTTACTCTCCTGGCTTACTGCAGCCATATAGGCAAATTTCTCCACATGAGGCTGTCCCCCATCCTAGTTTTTCAAAGGGGCCAAGAGTGGAGCGAGGACAGGATTGGGTGCAGCACCTGGACTTGTTTAGGACTTCTGGCTTGCAAGTTTGTTCATGGTTAACCCCTTGCTGAGTTGTCCTGTGTGCAGCTAACAGGAGAAGGGGAAGGACTGAGCCCTGTTCTGCTGCCACTTAGGAGTGCCCATTTCCCTCACTGCCAGGTAGTTGTCTGTGCCTGGCAAAGAGGATGAGTCCCACTCCTTCCATCTTCACCACTTTCCCAGGGGTACAGCATGTTAATGATCCTTCAGCACCTTTCCTCAGTGTGAGTCCCCCCGCCTGTGCTGTCCTGAGCAAAAGCTGGTCTCTCTGCAACTGCAGGCTGGCTGCTTCCCACTCTTCTGCAGCTCCCTTGGAAGGAATTGCTCTTTGCTCGTCCTTGCAGCACAGGGTTGCGAAGCAGTGGCTGTTTCAGAGAGCCCAGGTGATTGCTTCTGTACTGGAAGCCCTTCAGGCTCCCTCCCAAGGCCACACGCAAGTCCTGTGATCAATCCAAACACAAGCAAATGAACTCTCCTGAGGTACCCTCTGCAGACACCTATTGTCACCTTGACAATTTAGCTGTCAGATCACACACCAGCTCACTTGGGCTTAGCCAGGCTGCACAAGTCAGAGCTTATCCCAGTCTGCAGCACACTGGTGGGTCTCATAGAGTTGAAGTTTCCAGAGACCCATGGTGTGTTTATGTTCTGTTCACACATACCTTCTTGATGTCTCTCTCTGTCCCCTTTGGCATGCTGGTGGTCATCCAACCTAGCCTTTTGGGCATTCCTCTGGTTCGTTGGCTTCTGCTTTCTGACCAACCAGTGGCAAGCATCAAAGAAAGAAGACAACCCAATGAATGAGGGAGGGGATGCAGCCCGAGCAGCCATCACATTCTCATTCTTCTCCATCTTCACCTGGGTGAGTACAGCAACCATGATGTTGTCTCAAGTGTCCTGTGCACTTTATTAGCTTGTTGGGAATGGAAGGTGACTATGTAAGAGTGATTGCCTCTGAGATCTCAGTTCACATGGCTTCTAAGAAGGAAAAGAAGGGGGAGGAGGTGGCTAGGAGATAAACTTGGGAAACAAAGACTCAAAAACTTACATGAAAGATGTTGTTAGAAGGTGCTAGAGCATTAATAAGCACAATGGGAAAGAGGGACCCATATCCCAGTAAGGAGTGTCCTTGAGAAACCTCTAATATGACCCTGGGCAAGGAGGCACCACAAGCATCATTTTGCCTGTGCATCAGAGGACTTTTAACATCATTTTCTCCTCACAGACGCTAAGCAGAGAAGGGAGTTCCAGGTCTGTGGATGCACCCATCTCCCTGCTTTGCTCCCATCACATGAAAAGTCATCAGTGGTCACAAGCGGCTGCAGTGGGAGTCCCTCTAGGCTCTCCATCTGCACCTACTCTGCAGCACTACCTTAGGATCCACACTGGATCACCTCTTAGGAAGGTCATGGTGCTGTTTGCCCTTTCCCCAGCAGTTCTGTATTGCTAGTTCCCTGGAAAAATGGTGTGTGATATAAACATCCCCCACAATTTCCTCCCATCTCTGAAAGCATGAAACCCACGTGACTTTTGTCCAAAGTCACAGGATAGTGCCAAGCAGAAAAATATTTTAGGCTAGTCTCTATGCATAAGTCCTTGTGCCTTTATCTTCTCCTCTCCCTACAGGCCTTAACATTGTTCAGAGGCCAGGTAGGAAAGGTGCTGTAAGACTATGAAGCTGTCAGAGGAAGGGGGGCTGCAAAGGGTTTTGTGATCAGCAGCCTCACCAAGGTGACACCAAGCAGAGGCAAGGACAGCAGCATGTGTGTATGTCCCATGAGCTGTGCCCTGCACTCAGGTGCTGCTGAAAGCCTCTTGCAGGCTCCAGCAGAAAGTGTGACAAGGAGCAAGGCTTTTGCAAGAGGTCTCTCAGGACCCTTTTGGAGGTGCCACAATCTCCAGTGGTCTTCCCTGATGCGTGGGTTTGCAAGTGGATAAATAGGCGTCCTTCTCCCCCACATCCTTGGGGGTTTTATTTCAGTCAGGCATTCTGGTTTGCTCTTCCTGATTATCCTTCCCACACCCCTCTCTCCTCACAGGCCTCCCTCACATTTCTGGCTTTCCGGAGACTCAGAGACATTACTTTTCAGGAAGAGTACAACACCCTGTTCCCTAACTCCCCATCCTTGCTGCCTTAGCGCCCCTCACTGATGGGGGAATTTAGGGGAAGGGATCGAGGGTTGCAGTTGGAGGAGGTTACTGAGCAGACAGTTCCAATGCCCTGACCATCGGTGTGTAGTCACTGTAGGGCACAGGGTGGGAAGACATGGGCCATTGAACTGGAGTGGGGTTGTCCATTGAAGGGGGATCTCCCTCCAGGGAGTTGGAACTGGCGATTTCTTCTTGTCCTCCTCCTCTGCTCCCTTCTCTCCCTTACCTGTACCCTAACTAATGCTGCATAACACTGCTTGCCATGCCGTTCTTATGGTGACTGCTCAGACCTAATACTTCAGGAGATGCCCTCTGCCCCAACCACTTTATCTCCTCCATTTCCTCCCAGCCTTTATTCCCCCAAAACCTCTCCCTCCATCACCTGCTAGACTGCTCACCTCTATCAGGGATGCCGTGGAACAAGAAGCCATGCCTGCTGGGGTGTGCGATTCAGAACCCATCCCTGGACTCCCTCAGTCCACCAAACGGTGCCTGAAGTGCCTGGGGTAGGAGGCAGCAGTATGCTTGCTAACCATCCCCTTGTCTGGGAAGCAGCCACCTTGCCTCCTGCTGCTCCTTCCCAAGATCTGTGCTGCACCCTGGGGATGTTGGCCAGTGAGGGGGTTATAGGGGATGACCACTACCTCGCTACTCCAGGTCAGATCCTGCTCTCCTTCCTGGCCTCTGGCTGTGTACTTCCAGCCCAGCAGGTGAACCGTCTGCTGTGTTGCTGAAACACATTGCCTTCTCAGGGGCAGGAGGGGCTGAATGGGATAACCACATGCCAATTGAGCCTCTGCGACCTGTGCCATGTAAGTGAAAGCCCATTGCCAGGCAGGTGGTGCCCAGCACACCCCAGAGACAGCGGGGAGCCTGGGCAGGCAGCTGAGCTTGCAGCCATCCCTGTCTGCCCTCCCCTCTCCCAGCGGCTCATGCTTTCTATAGGGTATCTGAACCTTCGTGCTCTCAGGGGTGTTTCACCAGTGGTCTGCCCTGCAGGCCTTGCTCACTAACCCGTAACCACTACTAACCCCACTTTTGTTTGTTTCTCTTTCTTGGTATGTTCCCCTTCTCCTTCTCCCCTCCCCTCTCTGCTTCCTGTCTTTTCCCTCCACCTTCTCCCTTAAAGGTGGGCCAGGCATTCCTAGCGTATCAGCGTTTCCGGCTGGGTGCCGATTCGGCCCTCTTCTCCCAGGACTACATGGACCCAAGCCAGGACTCCGGCATGCCTTATGCTCCCTACACGAACGAGGAGGATGCTACAGATGCGGTGGGGACGTACCAGCAGCCCCCTCCAGCAGATGCTTTCGACACCGAGACACAGGGGTACCAGACACAGAACTACTGAGCCACCGATGCCCCTTTCCCTTCCTCTTTCCCTTCTGCCCCCTTTCCCGCTGCCGGCAGAAAGCCGAGGCACAAACCAGACATGTGCATAGTGGCACAAGAGGTGGTTCTCAGCTATGCTCCAGCCTTCTGGGTCATCTGTTTTTATTTATTGTTTTTAAAAAAGGAAGAAAAAAAAGAGAAAAAAGGTTTCCCCATCACCTCTTCCTTCTCTCAGCCAAAACTACCTGCCAGAACCAAATTCTTCCAAAATCTGCCACCACATTGTTATAGGAAGGTCCCCCCTTCCCTTCTCTCCCACCTGCCTCGCTGTGGAGGGGAGAGTCTGGCTGTGGGCAGGAGAAGGGGCTACAGCACCAGCAGAACAAGGGAGAGGATGTTGGAAGCAGTAGAGTGAGAGGGACCTTCCTAGAAAAGATGATGTTGCTAAAGGCTGGAGAAGATGTGGGAGCATCCAAATTGGGCTGCAGGGCTTGGTGGCTCAGGGAGAGAGATGGTGTTGGAGTCAGAATGCAGGAGTGTGAGGATGGGGGGGGAGTGGAAATGGCATTCCCCATGCAAAGACAGAGGGGCATTTCTCTGCCACATGCTAGTGAAGGAGGGGTGCTTTGTTTTGAGAAGTTCTGGGGAGAAGTGGTATGGGGGGGGTGGTGTACAAAGAGATAACATGGGAAGGAGGGAAGAAGATTTGCAGGTACAGTCAGAAACCACATGCATGTCTGTAGGTTACAGCAAGAGACTCGGCAGAGCAGAGGGGAGTGCCATGGGAGTCACTCCTTTCCCAGCTCCCTTGGACTGAGGTGGAGGTTATTCCCCTCACCTCTATGTCCTGCTCACAGCTCTTCTCAGACCAGTGTCTGGGGAGGCAGGAGGGGAGTCATGACCAGTCCCTGGCCCCCAGACACAGTGCCCGTGGGGGAAGGATGAGGAGTTTGACTTCTAAAGGGTGCTGAGAGCCCTTGTCCCAAACTGGGCTGGTTTGAGGAGAGGAGAGCTTTGACATTTCACTTTGGGCAGGACAGGTAGAAGAAAGCCAGTTTCTCTGATCATGTCCTGCTGTACCCTCCTCCATTCCTCTGCTACCACAGTGCAAAGCCTCTTGCTGACACCATCTGCATAGCACACAGGAATGGAGCAGGACTCCCGCTGGGAAGCAGTACTGCTGCTGGCATGTCTGGCTCTTGCACAAGGGGTGCAACCAGGCAGGGAAGAGTTCTGCCCCACACGGCTGTGGTCTGCCTCCCACTCAGGTGAGGAGGAGATCTTGGTCTGCAGAGGTTTGCCTGGGGACAGACTCAGCTCTCTGAAAACCGGTCGTCTTGTACTTGCCATAGTCTAATGCATCGTCTGCAGCATCTCAGCTCCTGGCTGTCTTTAAAGCCTCGCCTAGGTGGCAGTAGTGACTCTTAGATAGAGCCTTGTATGCACATCATGACACAGGCCTCATGGTTTTGCTTCAGGTTGTCTTTTTAGACACAGCTGTGGAAGCACACTCTTTATTCCAAAATAGAAGTAAGGTCTATGTGTGAAGATGGTCCCTAAAAGGAAGTAATTCAGCAATAGTTACCTGGACAATTCAGCCCAGCGCAGACATCTCTCAGAGCACAAGCAGCAGGTACGCCTTGCAGCAGTGAGGAACATCATCCTCCAGGCAGCTACCCTGCACCATGCAACACTGGCCCCAGCAGCAGAGATCAGGAGCAGATCTAAAACCCATAGGTGCTCCCTGTGAGCATCCAGCCTATTCCCCATAGCACCCTTAGGGGCTGGGAGGATGGGACACAGGTCTGGCCTGTGGCTGTGTGAACATCTCGCATCTTACCAGGCCTTCCCTTTTTCCCAGTGTGATTCCTCTTCAGCTGCCCCACAGTCACAGGGAAGGGGTAGAAACTGTAGAGCTGCAGGCCCCAAGAGGGAAAGGGTTTTCCGGCTGTATATAGGCACTGTTTCTAGCTGCTTCTAACCACAGACTTGTGCTGCTGGTGGCTGTCCCTATGGCTTGTCCTCCCCATGGCTTGCACCCCTTTGCTGGTGGTTAACCAGTGGTGAGGATAGGAGAGGGGGACCAGCTAACCCTATGGATGCACCAGGAGGGACTGAGAATGCATCCCTTGCTCTGTGGCTGTCAGCGAAAGCAATACTGTAAATAGGAGGGTTATTTTTTGGAGGGAAGCCCCTTAGGCTTCTTATTCTGTGGACTCAGCCTAATATTTAGGCTTGGGAGGGGGTTACTTTATTGAGAGAAGTTTGTTATGACTGGGGTCTCCCTCCAGTCCATCTCTCCCACCGGGGGAGAGGAAAGAACGAATGACAAAGGTGGAGGAGGAGAAAAACTAGTTATACTCACCCAAACTCATCTGTGTCATCCTTCATGTTTTCATTTTGGGTGTGGGGGGGGAACCAAGAGGAGGAGGCAGCTGTAAATACCCAGGCCTCAGCACAAAGATATGCTGTACTTTTGGGGAGGAACTGCTCATTGCCTGTCCCCAGTCCTTGATGAGGGCATGAGGGACCTGGTGCATGAGGAGACATACAGAACCATGCGTGGGAAATCTAGCTGGGGCTCTGTTTTGTGATGTAGCACAGGATCATTTTACGTGTCCTTTCTCCCATCAGAGTTATATAGATGGCTAAACACCATTTGGGTTTGATGACTAATGAGCAAGCTTTTCTTTATCCTCTTTAGCTTGCTTCCCTCATGTAACCAGCTGATGGGCTCCAATGGGCTTGAGGTAGGAATGAGCCTCCCCCTCAGAGCTGGCACTTCAGTGAGACATGAACCAGGTGGCTTCATCCTGGGTAATTACCCACTTCTCTGTCCCCTTCTTCCTTGCTTTGTGTCGTAGGGAAGGCATTGGTGTGATAGGGGGCACTACAATAGTAGATACTTGGGCAACTTCTTGCTCTGGCTCATGGGAGAAGACATACTCTCCTTGGGTTGACATGCTTTCAGCCTTCACATGGTGGTGACAGACCTGGGGGTGGGACTCTCCTTGTTTGCACACAGCAATTTAAAATGCAATTTCCCATGGCATTTGGCTGGTTCTGCAGCTGATGGAGAGATACAGACCTACCCAAAGGGTTGGTTATCTTATCGTAAGTGCTTCTGATAAGGCGTCGCCTATTTCTGATGATCATAGGCAAGACCTGAGGAGCTGGCTGGAGCATGTCTCTTTTAGATCTTAAATGTGGGTGAGATCAGCCCCACTCTAGGGATTAGTAGATCAGAGGGAAGGCTGTATAAGCAAAACGGTAACGCAGCTTGCTTTTCCCTCTGCCATTTGTCCAGATTGCAGATGATTACACATCCCCTGTTGGGAGCAGTGGCCCCTTGATGTCTTCTTATCTGATGAAGCCCCCCAGTGAGGGACTGTTCTGTGAAGGAGAGGCTGTGAAGGGCAAAGGGATGATGAAACCCTGCCCCAGTTCTACCTATGGCTTCAGTCTCCTGACTTACCCCATCCCCTACTCACCCATGTCCCCACCACACTGTTCACCTCATCACGCACCCTTCCCCTCCACATTATTCCTGGCAGTTCCCTCAGGGGAGGAGGCATCTTTGTCCCTGCACCCTCGCAAGCACTTGGGAGGACCTGGGAAGGCAGCGTTGTGGGGTGGTTCCCACAGGAGCCTCGGCTCCAGTCCCCAGAGCAGGTACAAGGCCAGAAACCCAGCAAAGCCACCTCATGAAGCAAGTCCAAACCATCCATTCCAGACAAATCCTTGCTGCCTGCGTGGCATCCGTGACACCACCTGGGCTGCCCTGGCCCTTCCCCTGCCACATTACTGCCTGTGTATAGTATATATATTATATATATATATTTAAAAAGATGTATAATATAAGCTATACATATATACGTATATACGATGACTCATGGATGGCCTGCCGCATACAGGATCCCCTGAGTGGTCTTGTCTAAGCCCAAGTGTCCCTTCACCCCTCCTCCCCTCCGTCCCTGGACCCTGTCCGTTCCGAAATCCAACTGCAGTGAACCCCGCCACCTCGGCACCTGTGTTTACAACGTCCTATATATTTGTGGTTAACAAAGTGAAGGTGGTAACTACTGGTGTCTCAATAAAGTTATAACGTTCAAAATAACCAAACTATATGGAAAAAAACATGGTCTGGATTTTCTTTTGGGGGGGAGGGGTGGCTTTTTTAGCTCTGTTTGCTGTGACAGCATGGCTCCTGTGCTCCTACACGGCCAGCTGGGAAGTTTAGTGACAATCAGTGGCTTAAATGGAGGAAAAAGACCTAAAGAACTGCCCTTATTGAGACAGAGATTTCAGGGGGAGCTAAGGGTTGGTTGTTTTGCTTGGCCTAAGTTGCAAAGCACACACACCATCAAGTGTCTCTTACCTAACCAGTAGGAAGACATGAGAAGGAGCTTGATATGCCGTATTAGAAGTGGCCTCTCACTGTGAAAGGGATATGGATACAGGAGGTGTGGGTGGGGAACATACAGGAATATAGGATACAAACCTATATGAAAACAAACATCTGTATTTCCACACCTGGGCAAGCAGACCTGTTTATTCTTTTGATGTGTCTTTACCTCTATTCCTTTACATGTGACCATCACTTGGGTGTCCAGCCTAGCACACACTTGCAAAACATAACCATGTGCTGGGAAACGAGCTCTCAGTGCACTGCCAGCAGTTGGTAACTGAAAACCCACCATTGAAAAGGATCTCCTTTCAACGGGCTCTGCAATCAAAGTAAAAATCAAAATCCCACCATCCGTCAATGCTTAAGTAAAGCTTCCTTTAAACTGCCACTCTAATACCCGGAGTGTCACCTTTCCCAGCCCATGTGCAGTCTGAGGCCAGGAAGCAGAGGTGCATGAGAGAGAACAGGCTCTATCTAGTCCTCCAAAGTGTCACCCCTCTTGGGGCCACGACTGAGCATGAACACGCTGCAGCTT